AGAAGAGCGACGACAAGAAAGAGTTAAGAGGAAAAATAAGGGCACATGACAACTCAATAAGTCTGCTGACCAAGCAACATCGAGACCCTCGAAGCCCCATGAAATGTCAAATTCGCCCTAAGCACAAAAATAAAAATGAAGATCGTACTCAAACCTGTTCCCCGATACTGCCAATAGCTGCATCAAGAACACTAAAGTCTGGACATTATGTTAGATCATCATTACATCTTTAAAATCGGTCAAAAAAAAAAAAGATTCTTTTAAGACTTAGGGTCCCTTTTCGGGTCTCTGGTTACAAGGTAGGACCGGTCTTACACTTTTCACAAGTATCAGTTTCCTTGCCAATCACTGTTGGTCCTCTTAAAAGATGAACTCAGGACTCTGTGGGAAGAAATCCGGGTTGGTTGGTGTTTTCCCGTACAGTGCATTGACTAGTCAGAGGATGAGATAGACGTGTATTACGAAGAAGATTATATCTATGAGAGAAAATTATAGCTTACTTGAAAATATATTTAAAAAAATATAAAAAAATGCAAAGGATTAGACACTGCTCATCTTGGAGTTCGTTTATACTCCGTTTTGAAGTGCTCGTCCGCTCTCTTCAAATCCTCGTCACCTTCATAGAGACGATGAAGCAAACCACTATACCACAGTCGTCTTCGATTTGCATCATGATGACAAGGGAATATGACATGACATGAGTTGATGCTAGGAGTGTTAAGAAGGGCAAGCATCACTTTTGGTTGAGCAGGGGGGGGACATAAATTAATCGATGCACTGACGTATGCATATATTATACTAAAACATTACAGAAATGATAGATGGCATGATAAAATTTTGGGGCGGCGGAAGGGGGCTAAAATATTTTAGTGTCTCTTCCCCTGCCTCAACTGTTATATTCAATATCTTATATCCCAACCAACTTGAGAATCACAATAAATCCTCTCCGAAAATTCTGCAGGCTTGGAGCAACTGAGCCAAAATGACTGGTGGTGCCAACCAAAACGTCGTGCTGGTGTTTTGGCAAAACTTAGTTCACAATGGAAATTTGCTCCTTACAAAAAAACCACGGATGTACTGGTCCTTTCATCCCTCTACTAAGGAGAAATTACATGAGAAGGTGTTTTTGGAAAAAGCAAGGACCGGTCCTCGGGTGGAAGTGAACCCCAAAAATAAGTAGGGGTGGGGTAAGGACCCTCAGGCCCAGGCGTTGAGGCCCGTCTTCTCAAAACAGAGAGGTCAGGCGCAACAAAACGGGCGTTTTGCAAAAGGCACCTTTGACGATTTTCTGTGCTCGAAGGAATCTGCAGAAAAATCTGAAATTTTGAGAATCCATATATGAGGTCGTGTTCTTTGTAGGAAAAATATTTGAACATTTAAAAAAAATCATTTAGACCGAGAAATAATCGTCGTGCCGATTGGGCATATTTTCCATTTTTGCCACTCAGCTATGTGTGGGCCAACTTAAAAAGTACTCCAAATTTAGTGAGTTTTCACTCTCAGAAGAATGCGTGAAAAAAACTGACAGTTGGAGTACTCGTAGATTTTGTTGTGATCTTTTCATGAAAAACTCTAAATAAATTAAAAAAAATCATTCCAACTGCGAAATACATCGCGACCGCAATTTGACCCATATGTCATTTAGCCCCTCTCTCTCTCTTTTTTTTTTTTTTTTTTTTTTTTTTTTTTTTCTCTCTCTCTCTCTCTCTCTCTCTCTCTCTGTTAGGCCCCCCCCCTCCCTCTCTCTATATCTCTCTTTCTTTCTCTTTCTCTCTCTCTCTCACTCATATCAGCAAATGGAACAAAACTCTCTCTCTCTCTCTGGTAGCACCTCCTCTCCCTCTCTCCCTGTTTGTCTTTCTTTCTCTCTCTCACTCTCTGTCTCTCTCTCTCACTCATAACAATAAATGGAACAAAACTCTCTCTCTCTCTCTCTCTCTCTCTCTCTCTCTCTCTCTCTCTC